AAACCATTACGCTGGCATGACTATGACGATCTTTGTTACTCCTATACGTGATCGTATGGGACGAATTTTGGGTTCCTTCAACTTCTGTCATGTTGTGTTTGTTAATGCATGGTTCGTGAGTGCACGATCAGCAGCAAGGATGAGCCTGTATTACCAACTGGATCGTCTATGCTTGTTGAAGGGGTGCCTGCAGCCGAATGGCCCTCAATGAATGTTAAACTATTCATCAACAATCACTACTGCCCAGTGAGCAGTGCTCACAGTTAAGGTCTGTCGCTTTGTTCAGTTGACACGTGCCGGGATCGAACCAGGGATCGTCTGTGCTGATAGCGCAAATCATGAAATTTCAGAACATTTCTCCCTTCGCTCCGCTGTAGATTTGCGTTCCCCCATATTCTAGGGTCACAGCAGCGAGTCAGTGTGTGTGTTGCTACAGAATAGGACGGTACTGGGGCATCACTACGACTCCCTCCTCCTTTTCAGCGTACCTGCTCCTGTTATTAGTGCTGTAGTATGGCTAAGGCTAAGAAGGAAGCTCCTACCGCCGCCGGCGCCTCTTCTACTGCGGATGCCCAGAAATCCACGGATTGCATGATAAAGCCCTCCAGCGTGAGCCCTCCGATCAACACTTCGGAGTGGCCTCTTCTGCTGAAGAACTACGACAGGCTAAACGTGCGTACCGGACACTACACTCCTCTCCCCTTCGGCTGCTCCCCTCTTAACCGGTAATGGTAGGGGTAGGCGTCATAGCTGTTCGTGATCACAGATTCTCATTGCCGTTCATTAGGAGCAATAGATCTTTCTTGTCCCCTTACACTTTACAATACGCATAGGCTCGCTGTGGCTGTTGTGAGAGTGTCCATAGCTATCGATCATCTCTCCTTTGGTGTAGTCCTCTCGACCAGCATTTGCTCTACGGTGTCTGTAATCTGGATAAGCCGGTTAACCCCTCCTCCCATGAGGTTGTGGCCTGGATTAAGCGCATCCTCAAGTGCGAGAAGACTGGCCACTCCGGTACCCTGGACCCCAAGGTAACGTCAATGCTTCACCTGAGCGGGTGGCTTTCCTCTCACCTTGCCAGTAGGTTTCTGGATGCCTTCTTGTGTGCCTCAATCGGGCTACTCGTCTCGTCAAGGCTCAACAGGGCGCCGGAAAGGAGTAATATACGCGGCGGGTCTCTGTGCCACAAGTGTTCACTGTTAAGGTACGTCTGCGTAGTCCGCTTCCATGCTGACCCCGGTGGAGAGGCAGCTATCATCCGGGCCTTGGACCAGCTCACTGGTGCCCTCTTCCAGAGGCCCCCAGTCATCGCAGGTAGGAGCCTCAACTCAACGAGCGTATGTCACATCGTCGTCGTGCCTCAGCTGTGAAGCGTCAACTTCGTATCCGTACCATCTACTGGTCTAAGCTCCTCGACTATGACGAGGAGAAGCACATGGCCGTCTTCCACGTCTCCTGTGAGGCTGGTGAGCCCCAACCCCCTCAAGGTCCTCTATCATCGCATTCCTCTCAGGTACTTACATCCGTACCCTTTGTGTTCATATGGGCCTCCTCCTCGGTGTGGGCGCCCATATGCAGGAGCTAAGACGTGTGAGGTCTGGAAACCTCGGAGAACGAGATCAGCTCGTCACCATGCATGATCTACTCGATGCTCAGTAGCCACTCCTACTTCCAGGCCTATTCTTCTGCTATTTTGCTTACATCAGGTATGTCTATGAGAGCACTCGATCCGAGGAGTACCTTAGACGCACTATCATGCCTCTTGGTAGGGCCGTCCTTTGCGAAGATATTAATGAATTCCTTCTTCTTCAGAACGCATTCTCGTATCTTATCCACGCATTGTCCTCAAGGACTCCGCAGTGAATGCCGTCTGCTATGGTGCCAAGTTGATGGTTGTTGGTGTAAGCAGCCTGATGGAAGCGTGAGGCCTCCTCAACATCCCCTCACAGGTCCTCCGTTTCGAGAATGGTATCGAGGTAGGCAAGGACGTTGTACTGATGACGACCAAGGGAGAGGCTGTCGCCCTTGGAATCGCTCAGATGACTACTGCTGTCATCGCCAGTGTTGATCATGGTGAACACATTACCTCGGCAACTCCTATAATGGGTATTTCTGTTCGACATAGGTTGTGTGGCAACTATCAAGCGTGTGATTATGGAACGTGATACTTACGATTCCCGCTGGGGTTATGGCCCGAGGGCCTCTGAGAAGAAGAAGCTCATCCTCAACGGCAAGTTGGATGAGAAGGGAAGGTGGGTTGGGGCATCTCATGAGGAGGTTGGGAGGTATGGCGTGGCTCAGGCCCAACGAGAACACTCCTGAATCCTGGTTGAAGCACGAGGGTATGATCCCTAAGCTCACTGGCACTCCTGCTGCTGAAGACAAGAAGGAGTCTCCTAAGGAAGAATCCCCCGAAGAGGAACAAGAGGCAGCTCCCGTGAAGAAGGGTGAGATGAGAAATTCGCTGGATGGAAGTAGTGTTGTTTGTTTCAGAGAAGAAGAAGCACCACAAGAAGCGTACCGTAGAGGAAGTTGAGGAGGCCGAGGAGGAGAAGGCTGATGAAGAAGTGAGCTCAGTCAGTTCTAGTCCGCTGCTGGAAGTCACCTTGTCAGGCCGTCGAAAAGAAGAAGAAAAAGAAGAAGTCAAAGCATCATCATGAGGATGAAGCTTAAGCCTAGCTCTTCGCTCTTCCACCACCGCGGCTTAGTTGTCGCAACGTACAGTTCATCATCCGTTGACTATTAAAGCCGTCAAGCTTCCCTTTCACGCCATCACTCTAGCCTTTCTTCGGACACTACTACATTTGCTACTCCAGCAGGATTGTCACTATTATCATTATGAGTAACCGTTCCATCAGCAGTCTATTCTCCCTCTACTTAAGTTGACGTATTGCTATCTCGATTTACCAGTAATGGTGTTTCTTGAGGACGATGAGTAACTGCTGACACGTTTCTCAGATGATAGACTTGAATTTAACTGTTTGGGTTAGTCAAAGATGGAGGAGTAAAAAG